ATATATATATATATATATATATATATATATATACATATAAAAGAAAAACAATTAGATATTTCCATAGCCTTCATAAGTATAATCAAAATCAAGGTAGGCAAGAGGTGAATCTTGTTTATTGGTAAATGTTACATTGCTGGAAAATATTAACGCATTATAATTGCTAAATGCATGTATCCATTTCCCGAGTCACGTCTGATGCTGAGGACTTAATACGCATCGATAACAGATACGCTTACGTGATTATCCAGACCATTGTCATGATCATTTTTCTTCCCGATAGCTAATTCTATTTTACACCATCACAGCATTAGACTAATGGCCTTTCTAAGCATTCTCATTACGACCTTCTTGAATGATCTTATCAGTCCGTCCTCAGCTAATTTATCCTTAATATGCTGCACTCGTGGTTAACACACGTTAAGTTATTTTGCTTATGTCATTTGCCTGCTCATTGATTGAGCCTAATGAATTTCTTATGTCGTTTATTTTGAATCCCCTGACCACGAGGTTCGGAGTATTTCTCGCTCTCTCACTTAAGAATGCCATTGCACTTGCCTAATTTTAGACGTAGTAACATTAGCAAAATGTCTTGGTCATATACGCATTAGTCACTAAGTGGAGTACACTCGTAGACCAATGTGGTAGTTATAGACCTTGCGGTACTTATATACTTTCTAGTATTTATATACCATGCAGTAGCATACTTTTACTATTCCAGTGCTTACACACCACGAGGTACAGGGCCTAATGCAAACCTAGGTTGGTTTTTTTTAGCAATGAGTGAATAATTGATTGCAGTGAACTGTTTCAACCATTTATAAGTAGTATACATTAATGGACATTTTCAGGTTTTATCTGATAATTAGTTGATATTGGCACTTCACATTTTGATTCCAAAGTGGCACTGAATTGGCAATGATCATATACGCTCAAACTGGTGTTGACATCACCAGGAGACAAGGCTTGCCTTTTCTGGAATACCTTACTGCTGGATGTTACTCAACTACGAGATCTAACTCTTCATGAATTTCTGGATCTGTATTTACCATAAGTTATCTCAAATTAACCTCTATTTTCAGTCACTGTTCTAACCAATTATTTGTTCAATCTGATTTTCATTGTTATTTACATCAAGAATTTGTAATTATTTTTTGTCAGCAATATCATTAGATGTTTTCATATTCTGCCAGTCTTACTTTTCTAAAACTAAAAATCATCTGGAATATATTTATACAATTATTTACTGTGTATAGATCTTCTACATATTATCATTTCCTACTGGATGAACAATACTACAATATCATTAGATGTTTTCATATTCTGCCTCTACTTCGACTTTTCTAAGACTGAAAATCATCTGGAATATATTTATACAATTATTTACTGTTTATTGATCTACTTATTATCATTTCCTAGTGGATGAATAACTTTGGAAGTTTGTATAACATTTTTGGAAAATATGTTTCATTTTATGTTGTACTGTCGGTGAGGAATAGTTGCTGTTAAGGTTGGTTAGAATATGCTTTTCTATTGTGTCTTCAAATTTCTTTTGTGAGTCTATTTAGCCTCAAATTACTAAAGGTCAGGTGCTGTCATAGCTTATTAAAAACTGTTAAAGTAAATTCTTAAAATTCCATTTTTTGTATCTCATTATTGCTGTAATAAGCAAGTATTTTATAGTCTCAATTTTATTCATTTGCTGGGATGCACGATCAAAGTGAATTAAGATCAATTGTAGAGTTGATGCTTAGTTCACTTCATATTAACTTGTTTGAACAGGTCTATTCATGTAGATGCTCCCCCCACCTCACTTACCCCCGAGGTACACCTTTATTGAGATTACACATGGAATTATTGTTACTTCATTATGTGATATCCATTTGACAATATTGTTTCTACTTGTGTATTTTTATATTGATATTCATATCACAGCCTCAGTTCAATGCTTCAAGATCGTTTGACATTTTTACATGCTCGTTTCATTGTAAATGTTTACATTTTTTATGTTTGTTGCTTGTCATTTCTTATACTCATCTCTTCATTTTACTATTTTCTAATAAAATAAGATCTACATTAAAAAATATTTAAATTTTATAAAAAAATATTATTTGAATCAACTAGAAATATCAATAGTGCCCTCTATGGTGTATTTTGAAATGCTAACTTATAAGACAAGACTAGTAGTTTCATTATTTTAGAAACTCAGTTCATTTTATAAGGGAAAACACACCAATTTTATCTTAATATTTAAGAATTGTCCAATTGTTTCTAATCTTCCTCCAAGTCATTTTACAAATTAGTTCCAAGTATTCATATATCGAAGTTACTATCATTTAATATAAATTATTGAATCTACAGTATATTTTATTAATTAATAAAATTCTACTTATCTTTAAATAAACTTAATATGACTACGACTGTTGAGTGATATGTTCAATCTTTTTTTTTTTTCATATTTGTTTAAATTAATTTTATCTGAATTAGTTGGGGTATTCTGGTTTTTAAATTTAATTCCAAATTCCTCAATCTTTCCCTTTTGTTTATCAATTCCATCTCCAAAAACACAGCACCAATGAAGGAAATTGATGAAAATTGTCCGCCAAAAGATTCTTAAGTCACTAATGTACAAGTATTACCTTAATGCGATATCAAAACATAAATGATACAAACCAAGATCTCAATTGATTGAAAATAGTCATTCTTTTGTGCAGAGTCTAAAATGACTATTGTATGTGCTAACTCACAAGCAGTGTTTACATCGGTTTGAATTGTTAGAATTAGGCCAGAGATCAAATGCCGTTATTATTATAACTCCTGTCTAAACATATTCCTTGTTGTTTATCATATGTTATATTTTTGTATTTTTATTGTTCTAATTTTTTATAATTATTTTTTTTCTATTCATCTTCCTTTGTTGTTAACCGTGAACCTAGATATATCAATAACTTTTAAAAATATAAACATTAGTTTTATGAGTCATTTTCTGTAGTATTGTCCTTAAATATCTATTTTTAGAAGGTTTGTTGAATGTTATAGAGAAGTTTACCATTTTTATCTGAAGAAATTGCTTCCATGTTGAACAATTCATGTTTTCATAACTTGGTCGCTGTAGTTATTAACATTTCTAATTACTATGACAATAAACAAGTTTGTTGAATACACATAATTTGAGAAAAATCATAAATATCACCACGATTTTGGTATAAATGTCAAACCATATACTATAAAACAACCCACTTTATGTATAGTAATCATAATAATGTAGCAGCAGTATAATTTGTCTGTAATGTAGTGTATAGAATGATGTGTATAAGAGACAGGCTGCACTCGTGGTTAACACACGTTAAGTTATTTTGCTTATGTCATTTGCCTGCTCATTGATTGAGCCTAATGAATTTCTTATGTCGTTTATTTTGAATATGATGATAATTAAGGTGATATTAATTACGTTAATTATTAGATTATTATTTTAAAAAATTGTAACAAAAAGTGATATTTTCTTTCATGAACAGGAGAAGCTAAGAGACAAAGAGAAGGCCAAACTTTTACCAACAGCAGCCAAAGCAAAAGGTAAAAAAAACTTACCCTTATTCTTAGTGTTCCCTTTTATTGCTTTCACCTTTTAATGAACTGGTTGTATTTTATATTTTTTTTAAATTATTGATATGAATTTACATCTCTGGGAATTTAGCATGGTTTTAGCTGTGGAAATGACATTTCATTTTGTTTTATTTTTTTTCAAGTCAAACATGACAGCGATAAGTCAGAATTGCATGACATTTACAGAGACTTAAAATAATAAAATACCTTGGTAATAATAACAACTTCCGAATAAAAAACATTTATAAAATGTACACTTCAAAACATTAGATTATTTACACAAGGCAAAACACCCTCATCTCATTAGTGATCGATGCTTAAATAATCCAAAATATAATGTCAATTTTGAAATGTTAATCTAAAAATAGTGACAATGGAAATCTAAAGCAGCAATTAAGCGCTTTTTATCAGATTATAGGATGGCAGAGTTTTCTGTTGGTTTTACATATATTTTTTGTTGGGTATGTTACTAATAAAGACAAACCCTGTATTCTTAGATTAAGTTATAACTTCAGATTTACACCATATCATACTTATAAAATCAACTAGACAAGGACTAGGATTAAATGACATGATCACATTGATACCTACTCAGGCCGATTTCTCTAGTCTGGTCAATTTTGAAAGGTTAATCATGTTAATCATTTATGCATTTAAGTGCTTTTTATCAGATATAGGATGGCGGAATCTTCTACATCTATTGCTTGTTGTGTATGCTACTAATATAAATAAACCGTGTATTCTTTAGATCGAGCTATAACTTCAAATTTATATTATTTCATATTTATAAAATCAACTTCGACAAGGACTACAACTAAATGAATGATGACCTTGACTGATACCTAGGCATGCCGATTCTCTAGTCTGCTGTAGGGTAGGCTAAAATCATTGACGTGAAATTTTACCTTGTTAAAAACTAGTTTTGTTCAGTAAAATGATATGTACAGGTCCATTTTACTTTCCATTAAGTGAAGATGAACAGTTGCTGGATTCCTTTGTTGTTTATAACATATTGCACCTTTGGTGTCCTGGACTGTTGCCAACCTTTTCCTGATAGAAATAACTAAAAATATCAAAGTGTTGACCAATTCGTCCTGACTAGTAACATCACACAGAAAAGGAAAATTACCTAGGAGTAAATTCAAGAAAGGATCATCAGCAGCCCAATCACATTGTGAAAATGCTATTTCAAGGAATAAATTGAAAATTAACAGCTATGTTGATTTGAATGTCGTTTTGTCAATACAGTAGTTATTGGTTACTAAAAACCCATGGGTTATTATTATAGTAATGGGTTATTATTATAGATTAACTTCTAGGGTGGGTTACTATTACAGGGGGTTACTAGTACAGCAATGGCTTATTGAGAAGCTTTACGGTATTTTTTTAATACATGATAAATAAATGTGAACGTATACCTAATTAGTAATAAATGCCATCATTATGTTGTTACTTTGCGGCGTACACCAACTGCATTCAGGTAAGCAGAAGATACTTGTTAATGCAGTAATTTGTATGTGAAATGGATGGTATACTGCACATATGGACCAATCAGACATGTGACCTGGTTGCGTGCAAGCACAAGTTCATTCCCATAATGCATCTGTAGGCATGATTTTAGTTTATTCATATAATTATCGATTATCTTTTTAACATATTCATTCTGATTTTTTTGGTCCTAGGTGCTTCGCTTTGTTTGCGGCTGAGGGTAGGGTTTATTTCTATTCAAATTCATTAGTACTTTTGTGTGTGTGAGTGAGTTTTAAGTATTACTGTGTGGGGCGAGGGGTATGTGTGTGTGGGTCTATTCGATTTTTATAGTTTTTTCCATATGTTTGAGTGACAGTGCAGCAACATTGTCGTGGGCGTTTGCACACAGGCGTATTCTTATGTGAACATTGTCCTTCATTATCAGATAACTTGTCATAATCTGTTAAGTCCTCGCCAAGGAAGCACTTTTTAGTCATAAATAATTACATATTACACATACATTTTGTATGTTGATGGTAGTAAAGGTTTAGTACCCTAAAGCTACTTTTTTTAGTAATTCTCTTTACTTTACACCTTTTAGAAATCTTATACAAGTGTGTAAATTAGATTTGGAAAGAGTGTACTTTAGAAGTGTAAAAAAGGAAAGTCACTGTTGCGATCGTAATCTTTCATATTTTTGTTGTTCAACCAAAGGTTATTAACCCAAACTTGATTACCGGTATTCAGGACACTATACACCCACCTTTACTGCTAACTGTTTCTTTAACAGTCTAACCCTCGCATGCGGGGAAACCACTCTAAAATTTCATCATTGGAAAAATACAAAGCTCCAAACATGTCCATTTGGCTCTGGTGTAATATTTTAAAATAATCACTAGTCCTGTTCAAATTTATTAGTACAGATTTAAGTATCAACAAGTTAGCCCCTATTTGAAAAATCCCTGACATGAAATGTAATAGCACTTAATGCATTTATTCCAACTAGTTCAAAGGTCACCAGCCCAAAATGTTGTTTAAAAATGTTTGCGATATAATTTATTTTTTTATTTAAATGCGTTAATTGAACACTATGCTTATGGGAAAATGGCTTTTGATATCCACTTGCCCTGGGACTAGCTAAAACCTCGGTGATGATTACCGTTTTCTACTGGAGATGCGGCAGATACCGGTAGGTACTTTAGTTGTTTAGGTACAGTATATCATCGGGGCTTTCTGTAGAGTACTGCAAAAAAGTATCGGAGAGAGTTGAAAGCAGGCTTAGCAGTACTTAAAATATTGAATAGCTAATGCGCCATCTGCTAGCAGTATCTGCCATTAACTAATGCAAATAATCTTGTTCCAGAATATTTTTTTACCAGGGACAAGATATAAATGCAGTAATTATTACATTTGAAGGACAAATACATTCATAACCTATAATCATTGCTCTCTAAATACATTTGTCTGACAATATCCATAGTAAAAAATGTCCAATATATTATAATTAACATTCATTTTTACCCATAGTTATTTTATAATATTGTGTTTTGGCAATATTGTACCATTCAATTTTACTGAACAATATTTCAGTTTAAAATTCTTTTAAAGGTGATTGTGTTTTTTCTATAAGAACATCTAGTTATCTAGATAAATTGCAGTTTTATTTTTGGAACACCAATTTCATTACCTAATAACAATGTCAAAGTGAACTCTAATTGTGGTCATACTAACTATCAGCAAATTATTGTAAGTGATGATAAAAGTATGAGAGATGGTTGCTATGACAATACAGAACCTTAAAATTTATTTGTGCATCTTTTATCATACTTTTTATTTATGTTTTTTGAATTTACAAATTTGCCATAGTAAGTTGGATCACTGTTTGTATATAAATTAAGAATAAATCCCTCAATGAGTTTATTGTTTGTTCACACCTGGGCAGTATGTACTTTTTAAAGTTGCTTTTCTCTTTAATTTGTTTATTGTTATGTAATGTAGTTGTATAGATGATGACTCATTTAATTTTTAGTTTAAATCATATACATAATTTAACAACAATTAAACATGTATAATACTTGAAAAGTAATGTAACAGTATCCCTCACATTTGCGTGGGCATGCATGCACTCAACTCGGCATGCTTCTTGTGTATGGTTCGGCACGGAGCACGTATCCTTGTCAACGTTTACTCAACCCATTAGTGCAGTTAAAGGCCGTTTGTCCCGGTGATGCACGGCAACCTGATCCTACAGCTCGACAATTACTGGCAATTTGGTCGAGTAGGGTACTAATGGTAGGAATACTTGAGAACTAGTCTTTTCCATTAGTCATCGCTAACAAACAACAGTGTAATGTGGTAATTAACCCATGCATTCGATATGTACTTGAAACGAAAGGAAAACAGCTACCGATGTTTTTCAATTTATGATGATGAATAGTCAGATAAAAGTGGGATCATTTTCGTTGTTTATTGCCTTTAAAATAAAAGTATCTATTACTTTTTATTTTTTTGAAATGTTAGTATCAGATTCAGTTTCATTCCCCCTTTTTCATACAAGAGAAACAGGAAAATAAATAATGACATAATAAATGAGACAACATGTATATCACTTGAAACAATAATTAGCAATTAATGGTGCACTTTTATGAGCAGGGTTGGAAAACGTGTATGACCATGCAACCATTAGTTAGTTAGAGGCATCATCTACTGTACATATAATTTTCTTTTATAAAGTGCAATATGTGCCTTATAAACAAGACTGGAGAATAAATGTTTGTGCTTCTTACCATTAAAATTACTTTTATATAAAGCCTATAGCAACAAACCTTAATCTGTACTCTATGTCTCTGGAGAAATAGTATAAATATTATATAATGATATGGTTAAACTGCAGGAAAGTAAATAATGACATATAAATGAGACAATATGTATATCACTTGAAACCATAGTTAGTAATTAGTGATGCACTTTTATGAGCAGGGTTGAAAAACATGCACGACCATGCAACCAGTTGTTAGAGGCATCATCTATTTCTCCAGAAACAGAGTACAGATTAAGGTTTGTTGCTGGAGGCTTTATTTAGAAAATAATTTTTATTTTAGAAAATAATTTTATCCAGTCCTGTTTATAAGGCACATATTGTGCTTTAGAAAGGAAAATTGTATAAATAATAATGATATGGCTAAAGTACTCCTAGTCCTTAAACTAAACCTCGCCAGCCATCCAGGAGCTCATCCGCCCTTTGTAATAACACAGATTGTCTAAGAAAATCCGCCGTCTTCATGCACTTCAAATTAAAATAAACTGCTAACATTTCTTCTGGATACATGTAATCAGTCACTAATGTTCTTCCAATGGAATATCTATTGTGTTTTATTCTGCCAATTGTATAATGGATACCGGTAATTAAATTGTGACTCCTGTTGGTCTGGTTTTGGATGTGGTGCATTATATTTCCAAGTGGTCAGCTAGGTGACCCTTTAAAGATGATTTTTTTTCTTAAATCAATTAAAGTTACTATAGCTTGCCATAGGACAAGTTTGAAAAGATTTTGCCT